GGGTTTGGTCCGCCGCACCTGCGGAAAATCTGCTCTATTTATTCGATTCTAGAGGCTTAGGGATTAATAAAATATGAGCGTCGCTGAACAGCTCAACCAATGAAAATCTTCCATCTGAAGTCACGTGTACAAAGTGTAGAGCCGGGTGCGTGAAAGTGCGTACCCGGTCATCTGTGGCGAATGATTGACAGTTACAAAGTTTGAGGTTTCTGGACATTAGCATTTCAGGGAACCTTACCACGCCCAACCACGCAGCCACATGGAGTGGAATTTCGACATACCAAACTGAGCAGAGAAAACACAAGGACAAAGGAGTGAAGGAACACGCCATCACGCCAGTACAGCATGAATAACTTAATACAAAATTAGCGTCTCTGCTACACGTCCGTAAGGCATAGCTGAGCTAAATAAGAGACCCTGAGAAATGCAAGTACCGAGAGCGAGTAAAACTAGGGGGCGCTAGAATTCCACGATTTGCAGGTGCGCAACACTAGTGTTCCCTTGAATTTGATCATGGTCTCATCAGGAGCTAGGTTTCAGCTGGGTCTGTAATTACAAAGAAAAGAGGGATCTATTGTCTGAACGAATTGGCGGACTTTTGCCAGGAGTAGTGTCTATACTTGGAGCTGCTTGATTGTTTGTCAGATGGAAGAATGTGAGAACCGAGATATTGAGAAGTGGATGTTCAAGTGAGGGCGTCCTTACGCTTTAGACAAACCGCCGGTTAGATTGTTCCCGAATGGCACATTGGAAGCCAAGTGGTTCCAAATTTTCGTGCTCATCTGGCGCTTTGGTATGCAAAGGGTGTGTTTCATTTGTGCCTTTTTGGCACAATGGAGCTAAAAGGGTTAAATAAGCAAAATTATATATTTTCCATGCTTAGTTCTTTGACAGTTTATGCGATGGAGATTTATCTATGATGGAGAAATAAGCCTTTTACATTTAGGCAAATGAAATTGTGAAACATGTATTTCATTACATTAAATTGATGGGACGGATAACTTGGACACATAATGTGAACACTGACGAATCGATAAATGTTGCAATGCCGGTGCCGACTTCCCATAGTCGTGTCAATGCATGTGCGATGAGTTTCGCGTATACATTGAAGAGTATTGGGGCCAATGTTCGTTGGTTGCAGTGTGCTCAAAGTAAACTTTATTTCGTGGTCATGGTGGTGCTCGCTGTACATAACATATCAGTTCGGTTGGTGGATAAACTTACAGAAGATTACATTTTACATGTAGATCCATCCTTCCAAGCAGTCTAACCCAAGGAAAAAGAGCAAAGAGCAAGAAATTAATTATCTTAACCCATTGACATCAATGGATATACTGATAAGGGTAATTAAATTACCTGTGACGAAGCATGGTCTCACCGCCCCAAGAGCAATGTGAAAAGTGTGATTGGATCAGGTTCGGCCACATCTGAGGACACATATCCCAAGGGTTTAGAGTTGAGGAGAGCCTCTATCTCAATCAATTAAACTGGTGTGTAAGGCAGTGAGAGACACAGTCCGGTTACCAAGGATGGCATACAAGGCATTCTTCACCTCCCTTTCTCATGTTCCACTGAAATGTGGAGCAGACGGTGGATTGAATTTGAATTGGATCTTATACTTGGGCGAGCTGCTCCTGCAAGCTAGGTGTCATTTCATCGGAAGCCTTGGTCAACTCTGTCAATCCTACCTTGAAATTGATTCCATTGTCACATAGGATCTCTTATGGGGTACCTCTCCGAGATCGAAAACGGTTAAATGCCATCAGAAAGACATCAGCGTCAGGGGAGTCGAGCAGATCATGGCAGACCGCTCGGGTGGTCATACACTTCGAAATGATTCTCCATCTTTGCTCACTTTTCCGGCTAAGGGAGACCGGGAGAATAGAAGACGGGTTTTCCGATGCTAAATCGGGATGGGGTAAATCTGCCATCTTGGGAATGGAGGGTTTCCCACGTCACCTGATGCAGCCCTCACACCGACTTTGTCGACTTTTGATGGACCGTCTTCCTCGTATTATCCAAAGCAACATCGGAGATCGGCAAGAACCATGTCCTCACTACCATGTCCCAAGCGGCAATCTGCCTCTTGAATGAGCAGACGGGTAATTGGATACTTGATGTAATGTAGTTTCATCTTCTTTACGACGAAACCGTTGTACTTCTGACAAACTCACACGATCACGCTTCTCTGCTAATCTACATGTATCTTATTTATTTCTACAGTAGTGCTAGCAGATGTGATACAAAGCAAGTTAAAATCTCGAAGACCCTCTTCTCCTCTCTCTCTCTTCCTCTTTATATCCCATCTTATTCCCATCTAATTTCTAAGAAAACATCTGTGCACTTCCAGAAGGTCAGTGTGGTCAGTCCAGGATATAGTGTGGTCAACCCCAACCACTTCCAGTCCCTTAGATTTCATTTTTACGACTTTCTCATGAGCCCAGTTTCCGCCTTAATTGACCACGACCTTCCCCTACATACTTGTGGTTCCTTACTCAGAATTGCTCCATGACACTTGGGGTCTAGCACTATCGGATGCTTGGCATCGGGGTCCAGCTCTGATGCCCAACGGAGACGCCCACCATCCCGGATCAGTGGACTTTCAGTGTCATATTCAGGGCAGAGACAGCTCAGTCGACTTTTGTTGGATACAGGCTTGCCAACGGACAAAGTTGCTAGGTCTTTCTGGAAGCAGTCTGTCTGTACCCACTGGAACAAGAGCCTCACAATTTTGGATCGGTCATCAGCACTCAGGAACGGAGGGCTCTCCTCCCCTTTGGATTGGTACAGAGCTTTACTGTACCCTTCAATCAGCTCGTCTCAAGTATCAAACCATGAAACATCAACCCCTGGGCGTTTTTCTTAGGGCGTCACCATCAGCCCCGTGAAGAAGTCTAGTTTCACTTCCAAACAGGCACTCTTCGGTGGTTCTTTTAGCCAGTCTGTCTCAGATGGAAGCAGAAAGAATGGACGGTGCCATCGACTGCTGTCATTTATTTGTTGCAAGGGGAGACCTCGAGTAAGGTCACCTGCGGGATTGTTTTGCGACTCTGCATACCGCCTGGTGACGTGATTCGTCAGCCCCTGAACTTTCATGGACAATTCATCTTCCAGTTCAACCAACTCATCTCTACTTACTGCGGCCATCAGTTCCAATCTTCGCATGGTCTGTACACGCTTTGGTACCAAACAAGATCTAGCCATTACAAATTGAGCTGAGACTTCACTGACTTCATTCATTGCTTACAGGTACCCTACCGCCCCGTAGGCCTTTTCTGACGCATCAGTGAATACATGCAGCTGGTAGCTGCTGGTGGCTGGGTTGAAATCAAGCAGAGCGTAGCATTGAGGCAAGCTGGTGTCTTTAAGTTGGGCAAGTTCTTCTCACCACCTTAAATGCTTGGCCTGTATTCCTTCCTCGCCTTCATCAGGAATTTCATCATCCCAGCCCCACGGTCACTTCAATTCTTGAACCAATATCTTGCCTCTCACCATGAATGGCATCAGATAGCCAGCTGGATCCTTTCTTTAAAGGCGCCAAGTCAAAATAGAAACGGTTGACCAAGCGGG